TCTCTCATCCGCTTATCGATGATTGTTATCTCCCGTGCAGGTCTTTTAATTGCTTCCACTCAAAATACTTTGAAAGTGAAAGTGGATTTTAGATAATTTTTTTTTTTTTTTAAAACCAAAAACGGCATGATTGATAACAATTACAGGTCACCACTGATCAGCTCTGAATGGTATTACGACGGTTTCAAACTGCTTATCTTCATCTTTTGCATAATTTCCATCATTGGCGCCACAGTTTGCACGGTAAATCTTTTATGCCTATACAAATAGCTGTATTTTTCCTTATTTTGAAACGATCTTTAGAGGCAGTTATGCCAAAAACAAGTTGGCTTTTTTGGAATGAAAATCAAAAGTATAAAAGTGGCCAGTGCACCAACCGCTGGTGCGAAAATGCGTTTTTTGCATATTTCCCCACAGGTTTTTGTCACTAATGAAATTTTTTTTTCCGGCAGATTCTTCTCGTTAAAAGAATTGGGACTAGCCACCAGGATTGTCAGGAAATTTCCCCTTTAAATTCCGGCTCTCTAGCTTTTCAGCTTTCTGAGTTAGCAACTTACCCGCAAAAAACTTTCATAGGCGTGAGGAATAACGTGAGGAATCGTACATACCCGGGGACTGGGTTGCAACTCAATAACACCTACGTGGAGGGGATGGCACTGCGTTACTTACTATAGTATCCTTGTCGGAAAGATATGACTTTTGTTCCAGGTGAAGGACGCATTTAATGGTTTAATTGCCCTTACCAAAATGCTCCTTATTTGTCGGAGATTTTTGTCTTGTTGCCAGAATGATGGCCAGTCAATGTACTGTTTCCACTGTTTTCAGGTTTACCTCACGTTATTTTCGCAAATCTTCATCGACGACTTTTGCATCTATTCCTTTACGCTTTCATTGGTGTCATCTGCGATTTATTGGTTTCTTTGGTTGCTGAGCTATAACAAAGGAGTAGCGGAACGTGCAATGTGCTTCAATAAATTACGACGTGATGAAGCACTTTTACGGTAAGTATTATTAGCCAGCAGGTGCCCCAGAAAAACACGCGGAAAGCCGGAATATGAAGAATCTGCCACAAAAAATAGTATGTACTGCCTATGGGAAGAGAGACAAGAAAGGTATATGCTGCCTTAAAAGCATATCAGCTAACTGTAGCAGTCAGATTGACCTTGGAAGCCTAAATGGCGAGAATACGGTAGATTACAGCATGGGAGAACACTACGAGAAAAGAAAGAGATAAGAGTGAGGTAAGACGTTTCGGTCCATTAAATCACATAAAAATGGAAGTGTGCCAGGCTGATCGTAGGGACTATGACCTATGGTGTAGTGGATAGCACGTCGCACCCGGATGTGAAGGAAAGTGGTTCGACTCCTTCCTGTTCCTCAGCCTTTTGCAAAAAAAACACTCAGTCCAAACAGTGTCCAAAATGTATGTTGGTGAAAGTACATCTGTGACATTTCGTATCGTTACTGTTTTTCATCGCCATATTTGTTTTCTGCTATCAATGCTGCAGTTGGAAACTTTTCCATTCTCGTACTTCATGTGGATAAATTCAGTAGCGCAAAAGATAGTCCTTCATTCTGCTATCGATCATCTTGTTTATCCCATATTTTGCAGTTTTAGTGACTTAATAATGTGGTTTTCTAACAATTTTCGCAAAATTCGATTAAAATGCGGTAAAATTTAGCGCCACTTTGAACGTCAGTGATGAGTTAAAATCATCCTTGCTCTGCGAGCCCATTTTGAATTTTCAAAATGGGCGATGAACAGAATTGGCCTCTGAGACGTTCTTGGGATGAGTAGTAGTAGTAGTGATTATCCATCAAAGAGATGATATGTATCGGAATCATAAACTATTGGAAATTACTGTATGTACAGTGACTTAGTAGCCTGTCTGTGTTGTCAGTGCAGTAGATCGTGGGTTGAACTTCGCTGATGCCAACCAATCTCTCCATGATTCGTTCATTCGTTTTAGTGGTAAATTGATACAGATATATGCTAGGATTATAAGCAATCGTCGAAGGAAGTTGCAATCGGATTCAGCCTTGCCAGCAGGTTCTTTCTGT